CCAATGATACGCCGAACAGACCTCTGCCTTGCATGCCTAGGTAGAGAAGGCTGGTCAGAGGCTATTGGGTATAGGGTGGAGAGGCGCATGGTCATGGGGACAAAACTCCAGCCCCATCGGCTCAGAAGCTATGGGGCGCATGTTAGGCTCGAGGTGCATAGGGGAAAATAATTGGATATGAGGTGCAAGTAGCTGCCAGAATGCAGACGAGATGCCCAAGTGCTCAGGTGGGCCCACTAGCTGATCACGTGTGGAGGGGCGGGACGCGCTCGACGCGTCTCGAGGTCGTGCATCCTGACATGCTTCACCACCTCAATCATGCCAACGAGCTCAGACGACACCCATGCGCAAATCGAAGAGAATTCCCATGATCAAACGAAGATTTGATTAATTACTCGATCATTGCTACAGCACCCTCATAAATCGACAAATTCGCCCTTGAGCAGCGGATCGTCGCGCACTTGCTGCAAATAGCTCTCCACCTTGGCCGTCAAGGCCGGCACATCGAAGCCAAAATACTTATAAGCAGCTTTGCCCGGCAAGCTGTGGCCAAAGCGCTTCATGCAGCAAGCGGCGTCAGCGTACCTCTCCCACCCATTGGGTGCGAACGGCTCGATGACGACAGCCGGGATACCGCGATGCCTTCGCAGCGTCTCACGCTTGTATTGTGTAGGTTGGGCATCGAACAATCGCTGACACGGGAAGCTCACGACTCGCGCCTTGATGTTCTTCGCCTTCAGCTCCTTCGCCGTATCAACTGCATGATGCAGCTCTGCACCGACACCGATAAGCGTCACGTCCGCATCCTCAACCTCCTCGATCACGTATGCGCCCTTCGCAACCAAGTCCCGATTCGTTTGCGGTAGTTGAGGAAGGGTATGCCGAGACGTCGAGATGATGCTCGGCGTGTTCTTCGCCTCGATCGCTGTGATCCACGCGCCTGCTGTCTCCTCGCTATCGGCCGGTCGAATGTACAATATATTGGGCATAGCGCGGTAGAGATTGGCAAGTTCGATCGGCTGATGGGTTGGGCCATCTTCGCCCATTCCGATGCTGTCGTGTGTGGCCGCATGAATGACCTGAAGACGTTGCAGCGCACCCATACGTACAGCAGGGGCTGCGTAGAGGTAGAACATGAAGAAAGAAGATGTAACGGGGATAAATGTGTTTGGTGCGTATGCTGCCAAACCGTTGGAGATGGCGGCCATGGCATGCTCTCGCACACCATAGTGGATATAGCGTCCGCTGTAGTTGCCGACAATACCACATGTGGTCTTCAGGTCGGGCTAGGTGGAGTTAGCAACCGCTCTTCAACCGAATGTGCACAGCTTACATTCTGGAAGTCGACCTTGCCCTTCCAGTTCATGTTGACTGAAGGCGTCAGATCAGCGGTGCCGACCATGAAGTTGATAATCTTCTCAGCAATCGTGTTGAAGACAAGTCCTGACGCTTTCCTTGTTGCTGTAGGCGCCTCCGGAAACGAGCTTGGGACCAAATCCTTCCAGTTGTCTGTCAGACGACCTTCGACCCGGCGCCTGAACTCAGCACCCTCCTCTGGGTACTTGTTCTCATACTCTTCCACTTTCTTCTCCCACGATTTCACAAGCTCCTCGCCCCTCGCGGGAACGTCTTCGAAGAATTTCCGCACCTCTTCGCTGACAACGAAATGTTCCTCAGGGTTAAAGCCGTACGCTTTCTTCATGTCAGCTACATCAGCTGCTCCGAATGCCATGCCATGGGCAGTGGCATCGCCTGCGACAGCACTACCAAGACCAATCACCGTCCGGACGTTGATGAATGTGGGCTTCTCGGTGGATGATCGCGCCTTGTTCAGAGCTTCGACAAGCCCTTCGATGTCAAAACATCCATCCTCAATGTCGATGATGTCCCAACCGCATGCTGCCATCTTGGCGTTGACGTCCTCGGTATTGGTAAGGTCGACAGAACCGTCGCAGGTAACTTGATTGTTATCGTAGATGATCGTGAGGTTGTTAAGCTTCAGATGGCCAGCAAAAGAGATCGCTTCCAGAGCAACACCTTCCTGCAGGCACGCGTCTCCGATCATACACCATGTGTGATTTGAAACCACGTCGAAGTCTGGTTTGTTGTAGGTTGCCTGGAGGTTCTTCGTCGCCATCGCCAATCCGACCGCATTGGCTACACCCTGTCCCAACGGACCAGTCGTGACCTCGATGCCTTCATGCTCGATCTCGGGATGTCCTGGGCACAACGCGTCGGTGCGTTCTGAGTGGTACGACTTCAACTGGTCAAAGGTCATGGCTTTGTAGCCTGTGAGATGGAGGAATGTGTATTGGAAAAGACAAGTGTGACCATTCGACAGGACGAATCGATCCCGGTTGAAGTAGTCAGGCGTGTGCGGTGCGTATCGCATGACATACTTCCACAGCGCGACACCAATGGCCGCCATACCAATAGCTCCTCTGTCGCATCGTTAGCTTCACTCTCCCAATATCTGGTTGTGGAACTTACCCGGGATGCCCGCCATTGAATTGCTGACATAGATCCGCGATGAGCAACCTAAACGTCTTCAAGACATGATCTTGCTCTTTCGATAACTTCTGGACAGACGACTGTTCCAGCTTCGCTTCTTTCTTCAGTCCATCTACGACATTCTTGCCATAACCGGTCGAGCCGCCGACCTGCGGTGAATCTTGCGAGGTATGCATTATGTGAGGTTGTGCGGAAACTTGGGAGTTGCGAACTTCACAATACAAACATTAGTAGTTCTACAGATCAAACAACATCAGGAGGCGCATCATACATAAGTACACCGCGTGCTGTACTGAAAACTAATCTTCGACGCATATCCAGAACATTTGGCCGGGCATGCCAAATTCGGTAATCCGACGCGTCGCTATTGCGGAGGCAAGCTCGGTGTCTTCAATTCCTATTGGGCAACAGGTTCACAGGCTAGTCGAACGCGGTAACCATAGCCACCAACACACTACGTCGTCAATGCCCGTTGGAAACTTCCCCGCATTTTGCCACGACGACTGCGCTTTCCGGTCCCCAGGTTGAGGGATGGGATTTCCACTTTGGCAAGAATGGAAATCTGGTGCGCTGAACATGTGGGGCTACTTGATACACCTCTACCCGTTTCCCCCAAGTTGACACCAGTCGCCCTTACTGGTGGTGATCGATCTTTACACTGCGACAAGTAAACATGACCCCAGCACTGGTTGATGCGTCTTCTGCTTCCGAAGCACATGCGACACCGAAACCTACTATCAAGACACCGCTGCCAAATCCCTCGCTGCAAGTCACTGCAGACCACAACTTGAAGCTACAAGAGGCGCCTGTGTATGCACCAGCAAAAGGAGAAGTGTTGTTGCATATCAAGGCTACGGGTGTTTGTGGGTAAGGCGCTTCAACTTGGCAGGCATGTCTAGAGCTGATAACGATCTGCCAGATCTGACATCCATTTCTGGAAAGCTGGGAGGATAGGCTCACTCGTTGTCGAAGGAGATTGTATTCTCGGCCATGAAGCAGCTGGCATAGTTCTGCAGTGTGGTGAAGATGTCACGAGTCTCAAGCCCGGTAGACTCAACCCCCCAACGTCCTCATCACTGACTAACATTTACTCCAGGCGATCGCGTAGCAGTCGAACCCGGCGTTCCATGCGGCTCCTGCTTCCTTTGCATGGACGGCCGCTACAACCTCTGTGAAGACGTCCAATTCGCCGGCGTGTACCCCTACCACGGCACAATCCAACGCTACAAAACGCATCCCGCAAAATGGTGCCACAAACTCCCTTCCAGCGTCTCCTATGCCGAAGGCGCACTTCTCGAGCCACTCTCCGTCGTCATGCACGGTATCAAATCCGCCGGTCTATCGCTAGGACGCGGTGCAGTAATCTGCGGCGCAGGTCCCATCGGTCTCATCGCCCTCGCTGCAGCGAGAGCGAGCGGAGCGCATCCCCTCGTTATCACGGATCTTGAACCAAAGCGCCTGGCATTCGCAAAGCAATTCGTGCCGTCGGCCTTGACATACCAGGTCGACCGCAATCTAGATGCGCAAGGAAATGCGAAGAAGATTAGAGAGCTGTTCGATTTCGAGAACGTGGGCGAGTACGGTGCACCGGAGACTGTGCTGGAATGTACAGGTGTGGAGAGTAGTGTTGTTACTGCTGCGTATACGGCGAGGAGAGGGGGTACGGTCATGGTGATTGGGGTGGGGAGGGAGATTATGAATAATTTGCCATTTATGCATTTGAGTCTTGCTGAGGTAAGTGGACTGCACTTCGTCTTGTTTACGTTGGTGAACAAGCTTGAAACCGGGTTTGCTGACACTGCTGTAGATTGATCTCAAGTTCATCAATCGCTACCGTGATACATGGCCTTCTGGCCTTCGGTGTTTGGCGGGTGACATACTTGATCTCAAGCCGCTTGTCAGTCATACGTTTCCGTTGGAGAAGGCACTTGATGCGTTGCATACGTGTGGTGATTTGAGCAATGGCAGTATCAAGGTGCAGATTATCGATGAAGTGGACGATGTTTTTTAGTACCTTCGATATAAAAGATGGGCCACGAAGACATGTCTGTTGTGTGTTTAATTCTATGAGCCTGAGACGGCTGCTCGGACGTACGAAGAACTGAATGAGATGTTTGTTTATTATGTCAAGGGAGAAACTTTAGACCGCACAAAACGGACACGCAAGCTATGGGTCAGGCGATCAAAGCAAGATAGCGGAACTAAAACATAAGAGGTCTGTTGCTTCGCGACAGAAAAGTGTACTGTCGGGGACACTATCTCGCTTGATCGAAACAGTTGCGACGACGCGGAGAGGTACTGGTGACCCGAACTCATGTCTTAGCTATTTGTGCGTGATCTCTGAGTTATGGTAAACCACTCGTTTGTTACTACGTTGTCTTGCTGATCTCGTGTTGAATGGTGTTGCCAGCAATCATCCCTAGGTATTTAGTTCTGCTGTAAACGTGTCGATGTACGTCCCTCATTCAGCAGACCTTCTCTCAGTCGCGATGGAGTCCCCTCATTTCAAACTTCTCGATCTCTTAACCACCTACACTCCAGCTCAGGACAGCGTGTTACGCCATCTCGACATTGGGGATATCATCGCACTCTCGCGCACCACAAAGGCGTTCAGTGATTATGTGGGCCTGGTCGAACGAACACAGTTTAACATCAACGAAAAGCTGAAATTGTTTGTGAGAGATCCAAACGCGTTTCGCTCGCTACAGGCGAAGCACAACATACTTATTAGCGGATCTTTTGCGCTCAGCTTCATGCTGAGAAGGCCACTCAGCTTCAGCCTGTTCGATGGGCCTACAAATATGCTATACAGGCTCTTAGTGGAGAAGGGCCCGCATGCCGAGGCTCTGAGATCGTTTCTTGAAAACGAGGGTTACAGGGTCATCGGAAACCCCATCACAGACGTAAGTACTCTGTTGTCACACCGAAGAGCCTGTTCAGTCTTTGAAGTAGCTGACCGTAGATTTAGCACCCAGTATTTGAACGTGACACCGACGAAGGCCGTCAAACCGTGTACATTCACGAGACGGAATATACTCCCCTCTCCAAGATCAAGACTTCGGACGTGACGTGTGACGTCAACTTCATCACCTGGAATAAAGCATACTCTGTGTTTCCATAACACACCTTCATTCTGAAGCAAGGTTACCTACTTACGGACATCAAGCATTGGAAAAATGTTCCAGAGGCTCTGGCCAGATGGACGCGTGTTGGGATTGACATCGCCCCCTTTAGTCTTCAGGATGCGCTTCCTCAACGCCCGAGAACTGATCCTACGTCTACACTGCTAGGAAACCGGCTGGTCGGTGATAAGAAATCCTGGGTGGTACCGCTAAACACTGACTTGGTCGAACCGTCACCCTTCCCCGACCTTCTCATCGACTATGCTGGCTTTGAGGTGACTAGGTTTTTGAACGACGAAACCGAGACTATGCTAGATCCCTCATCTCCCCCGTTCAATCGTTACAACCTTGAGATGACGGTCGTCGAGAGCTTTTCATTACGCCATCAGTACGTCTTCGCCGACAAAGCTTACCCAGAGCAACACCGTTTTCGAGATCGTACAATCGTACAACTTTACGCTCTGAACGCTGCAAGGCGACCATCGGGATTTGCACAGATCTTAGCTCAAACCAACCGTCCAAATCTACGTGCCATCGCAGGGTTTGTGCCACCAGAGAGCTGGAAGTATTACGACGATGAGATGCACAAATTCTTGGAGGCGAGGTATCCGGAGCTGTCTTTGCAAGTCGAAAATTGACATGGAGGTAAACCAGGATCATGTAGATTAGCATTGATCCACGCTACATAGCTACGAATCCGTTACACCCAGAGCACCAAACCACCCTAAGCCCTATCCCACCTCTCCATCCCCTCCTTCTTCATAGTCTCGTACCAAGTCCTCACATACTCCAACCCAGCATGCGGACCATAAATTCTCTTCTCCCACTGCGGCACCGGTGCCTTGAGTCCCGTCTCCTCGTCACACTTGCGCATCAGCTCACTGAGCGTACCACCCCGATCAATCACGTTGTCGGTGCTATAGACGCCCTCTTTGGCACGCGCCTCGCGTTTTTTACTGCGGAGAGTAGATGTAGCGAATTTATCGAATGTGAAGTTGTGCGGGTCGACGACGACACCGTAGTTCTCTGCGGCACCTTCGGGGGTGACGAGGCGGCGGTGGACTTCTTGGGCTACGCGTTCGGGTGGGCGGGTCAAGGGGTCGCCGAGGCCGCCGCCACCCCAGGTTATCCATTCGAGTACATCGCCTGGGGGTGTTAGTTATTTTGTTCACGCACGCGAACAATGAGTGCGACTTACCTGGGTATACGTGTATGAAATCTTGCTTCGATTGACAGAATTCCATGTTGTCCTTCTCGCCTGGTGTACCATAGCTGTTGTTTCGATAGACAACCTTTCTCGATCTGCTTCCAGGCTTTCCACCGTTGACGCCCCAGGCTTTGGTCAGCCATCGGTCGTCATGCGTGCTGACATCGCCTTCGCATAGCCATCTGTACAACGTTCTCTGTGCATTACCGCCACGGTAGAAGCCAGCGCCACCAGAATCTGGCAATGCCTCGTTGGCTTCGATGATGACGGGGTAATAGAGCTCGATATTCTCAGCTGGGATGGACTTGATAGCTGGGAAGAGACAGTGGCAGTCCGGCCCATCACCGATTGGTCGCGCGGGCACGCCACCGAATCCGATTTGGTAGAGCAAGTAAAATTCGCCATCGGGCTTGAAACCAGAGTAGAAGAGATGGGGTGAGTCGGAGAACCCTGCTGCGCAACGGTAGGCGGGATTCTGTTGGCCAAACAGCGCTTGCAAAACGTCCATGATGCGACCGAGGAGATGAGTGCGGCAACTGACGGCTGCTGGACGCACTGGACGGAGGATGGTACCAGCCGGGATCTTGATGTCTAGCAAGTCGTGGAATCCATCGTTCACCACCTACCAGAATTAGTTATGCTTCGTGATAATCTGGCGCATGGTTTACTTACAGCATACGGATCGTAGATGGCGAGCAGATGGTAACCGATGAACATCTTGAATAACGTGATAGACAGATAGAAGTTCATCGAGCTGTTTGACTGCGGCGAAGTGCCATCCCAATCGAAAATAAGCTTCCCGTTCTCCTTCTTCATGGAACAAGTGATGGCATATGGACCAACTCCTTGACCATCGTCGTCGATGAAATCGGTGAAGCTTGACACCTCATCGCTGATCTTGTCATTGATGATCCTGCTAATGGCAAGCTTGTTCTGCTCCAGTAGGTAATCCGCAGCTGCCTCGTACACCTCCAGACTGTAGCGCCCGCATAGTTCGGTAACACGCGTAGCAGCTGTGCGGCAAGCGGTAACGAGCGCCATGAGGTCGCTTTGAAACCAGTCTGGTGCACGGGAATTGCGGAAGAGTACCGTCGCGAGAGTTTCATTGTAGACACCCTTTGTGTAGAGCTTCACAATAGGTATTTGAATGCCGTCCTCGTAGATGGTGCTGGCGTTGATGCTCATAGAACCTGGTACTTTTCCTTGCACATCAGTTATGTGGCCGAAGTTCGCGGCCCAACCTATGAGATTATGCTCGTAGTAGATGGGGAGAATGACGATAACGTCGTTGAGATGCGATACGGCTCCATCAGTCTGGTATACGTCATTTGTGACGAACACGTCGCCTTCTTCGATTGTGCCGTTCCAACCGTCCAGGAATTGCTGTATGAATGATCCAAACTGACCGACAAGCATCTGGCCACGTGTGTTGGTGATGACGTTGAACTCATCTTGCTGCTCTCGGATTGCTGGGCTCATGGCGCAACGAAGTAGGAGAGCATCCATCTCTCGTCTGATAGATCCCAGTGCAGAGGCGATGAGCGTAGCGATGATTGGCTGCTCTTCGATCAGTGCTTGAGCTGACTCTTTGGTGTGCACGGCCTTTCCATGGTCCTTCTTCTCGGTAGGCCAGATGAGTATGTTGCCCATGGAGTCGATCTTTCCGTAGAATCCAGGAAGGATGAGAGTGTTTGAGTCCATCTCAGTGACAACCGCTGGACCATGTATGATTTTGCCAGCTCCTCCAATCTTAGACCGATCCCAGAAAGTTGCATCAACCTTCTTTCCATCCCAGACAATAACCTGCTTAGCCGTGATGGCGTCCTCACTAGGTTCAGAAGTATCGGCATCTTCCAGAGGTTTGAAAGCCACCTCTTCGGAGGCATCGATGACTTTAGCACGCAAGCGCATTGTCTCCATCTCAGCATTCGCGTGTGAGAAGCCGAACTGATGTTGGTGGGCCTCGTTGAATTTAGAACGGAAGATGTCCACAAGCTTATGCGAGTTGTCAAACTCATCAGAACTCAGATCAACAGTGAGTGTCATAGCTTGACCCTTGTAGCGCATATCTGCTTGGTATACGACATGAAGAGAAGCGTTCTCGTCCGCAAGCGAAGTCTTCATTGTCTTCACACCGCCGGCCTTGAGATCGAGCAATGTTTCCTTGAGTTCTTCCTCGGTTATCTCAGAGAATGCGCGAATATATGTGCAACTCTGCTCATGCGACATCTTCGTGATAGCATCACCTTGAGCACATAGCACACCGGGAGAAGGAGGGACGATAACAGGCCAAGAACCAAGAAGTTGACCAAGGGCGTTACCATGAAGTGGACCAGCACCACCGAGAGCGACCAATGCAAAGTCGCGTGGATCGTAGCCTTGCTCGACAGAGACCAGCCGCAGAGCACCGTGCATGGATTCGTTTACCAGGTCGATAATGCCTTCAGCTGCTGAAGCTGTATCAAGACCCATTTGCTTCGCGATGGATTCAACTGCAGCTGTAGATGCGGCGACGTCCAACTGGAACTTTCCACCGAGCAGTTTCGATGGAAGGCGACCTAACGCCAAGTTTGCATCGGTCACAGTCGCTTGGATGCCACCTTTTCCGTAAGCTGCAGGGCCAGGTGTAGCGCCGCTAGACTCGGGTCCAACACGTAGAGTCTTCGTAAAGTCATTGAAAATTGCGATAGAGCCACCGCCGGCTCCTACAGTATTAACATCCACGCTGGGTGCTCGTACTGACAGGTGACCGATTGCGGTCTCTCGTCGGATGATGGCATCACTTCCCGGAAGTAGAGCGCAGTCAGTGGAAGTTCCGCCCATGTCGAATGTAATGAGATTCTTGTAGGGCGTATTCTTCGCGACGAGATGGGAAACAGCCTTGACGCCACCAGCTGGCCCACTCATGAGGATGCGCACCGGTGTCTCGCCAGCAAGTTGGGTTGAAGTCAGGTCACCATCGGATTTCAAGATGCGGATCGTGTCTGTGTCTTTCTCGAGCTTCTTTTGTAGGTTCTGCATATAACTCTTTACCACCGGTTTGACGATGGCGTTGGCGGCTGTCGTAACGGTACGCTCGTACTCTTGGATCTCCGGCAGTACATCTGTAGAAGTGACAATCTCGACATGTGGCCCAAACTCGCTGCTCAATATGGCCCTGATGCGTTCTTCATGCGCGCTATTGGCGAAGGAATTGATCAGCGATACGGCAATTGCTTGCGGTTGTTGTCTCTTCAGATCCTGCAAGTCCTTTCGTAATTCATCCTCATCCAGCTCGTAGAAGACTTCACCATCAATCTTGATGCGCTCTTTGACTTCTACAGTCCTCTCGAGAGGCACGAGAGGGTCGGGCTGTTCGTAGTGCATCCATGAGCCTAATCCGCCTGGTATCTGGCTTCGCCGTGTGGACAGTATATCCTTGTGACCCTTAGTGACGATGAGACCGCATTTGGCGCCTTTGCCTTCAAGCACCGCATTGGTACCTGTGGTTGTGCCATGGTGTATGTACTCAAACCTGCCGTCCCAGTTGTACTTCTCTTTCAGGATTTTGCGTGCCTGTTGCACTCCGTCTTGCACACCAATAGACTGATCTGTCGTGTTGGTCGGCACTTTTGTGCGTACCGCTTCGCCGTTCGGGGTGATGACGCAGACTAGACTCGATTAAGAGATGAAGCATACTTTGTGGAAAAGGGCCGTACCGTCGGTGAAGGTTCTAGGATCGTGTTAGCCGCGCTGCTTGACGTGGGCCGTGTTCAAACAAGCCGCGAGGTGCTGGCAGCTGTGGATTCGGGGGAGTTCTGCATGTTCGCCGCCGGTGCCAGGGGGAAGCTAGCGGGTGGGCGTCCAGGCCTCCCACCGGTCCATGAGGCAAAATTGAGGCGATCATTACTTACCCTCCAACATCAACGCCGAGTCTGTAACCAGGCGTGGCCATGGTGTCGTAGCCGAATCGCGGTTCAGCGATGAGGTTGAGTCTATCCCAGTCTTACAACGAGGACTCGATGATGGTTTACCGGATGGCCCTGCGTCATGCCATAACCATGCTTTTTTGGAGCTGCTGCTAATGCGCCGAGGCCGCGCCGAGCATTGTCAATTACAATAGCGTTCGTGCTATCAGAGGCTCCATTGCCGCTGTCAGACACTGCGCCCTGCCCATAGTGGCAGTCACCATTGCGCTTGGGGAAGGCGTCTAACGGATGCCGCAATCACGGCACTGGCGATGATTGGAATGTTGAGGATGATCGGTGTTAGCTATCGTTTGGATGCGGGGTCGGTGAGAGCTAATTGCAGTCGTGTTATCTTGGACTATCTGCCTCTGCCTCGGTGCTGCGAAGCTGCTGTTATCACCGAATGATGCTTGACGCGAAAAGTGGACGGAGATGCTCGGCGCGTGGACCGGGGGCGACGCGTCCCAAGCTTCGCTTAGGTGCTTCCGAAGAGGTCGCGAAGCATCACTCGTGCTCCTCATATACATCATCACGATTTTCTGTTCATCAGCAATGGCGCTCGATATAGCGGAGAGAACTAATGACGCTGTGCGCACTAACACGGAGTCTACATGCGATGCTCCTTTCACGCAAATGAGATCCGACCCTCATAATTGATGACGTCATACATCGCTCTTTCTACTGCTATCCAGGACAAAGAGCTTTGGCAAATTACGACGACGCAGCATGTCAAAGATGCCTTTGTTTAACTTCGATTGTTTTCTTTATACGAGAAATCAGTTCTACACCGATCTAGGAGTACTTTCCGCAGGATGTCTCCAACATCGGAGCAGTCGACCATAGCAAACCGCTACGACGATCCCTAACATCAGCAAAAGGTTCAATGTAGAATAGTGAACATGGCTTCAGATCTCCAGTATCAGTTCTTACAGACCCTATCTGACGAGAGTGATGATGACAAACACGTGGTTATACGTTTGTACATCGCGCTAGATGAGACCAACACCATACGCGACGTGAGTCACGAGATTAATTATCCCGTCGCCGATACGTACTAACATCGTTACAGCGCTTTGTACTCAAAAAGGTCACGACAGATGACAGAGCCATCTTTAATGAGCGACAGGCAGTTTGCCGGATCATCGACACCCTTCCCAATTCCGGCGCAATACTGAAACATAGATTCTGGTCGTGTCACGACCATGGCGAGCATCTCGATCCCCCTTCCAGACACAGGTATGAGGTGAAAAGATATATGGACTATTGCTCTGCAGGCACACTATCCGACATCATCGAAGAATACAGCGCGGAAAAATGGCAGCAGGACACCGATGACCAGATTCCTGAACCCATGTTTTGGATCACTCTCATCACAATCTCAGAAGCAATCTACAACCTCACAACCGGATTGACGTACACACCGGGTATGGACGATGCAGCAGAAGCCTTTGGGTGGATACCAAAAGTGCATCGCGACATCAAGCCCAGCAACATCTTCCTCATGGAGCCTCAAGATCCCTTCACTTCTTTCCCGCGACCTGTGCTAGCGGATCTCGACGACATACTCGAGCTTTTCGGATATGAGGAGTATACCAAGAAGTACCACTTGTTCACCCGAGGCTACGCTGCACCCGAGAACAATATCGAGCTGCACACCCTAGACCCCGACGCCCGAGGCTTCGGCTACTTCCAAAGGCAGCCGCTCTCCTGCAAAACAGACATCTGGTCTCTGGGCACCGTACTCTGGGAGATGATGCATAGTTTTCTTGGTCCCCACAAGGCTCAAGGCCTTTGGCATGGGGCTGTCACTAATACTGTACATTCAGATCCATCTCAAAGTCGCTTTTTTAAGCATACTATTCCCGTGCTGGCGCCTACGATGAATGAGCCGAACTATACGAGGGATTTGATTCGGATATTTGAACTGTGTAATCAGAGTATCCCCGCAAGAAGACCGACGGCGGTAGTTTTGAGGAGGTTGGTGGAGAGGAAGATGAGGAGGGCGCAGAAGTGCTTGGGAGGTTTTGAGGGCGATGTGGAGGAGAGGATGAGGGTTAGGTATAGGAAGGAAGAGTTCGGCATGAGGCCCAACACTGAGCTTAGCAAGAGGCGACGTGGTCATTGGGCAAGAATTCATAGCTCATCTAATCATACATAACACCGTATCATCGCGGGAGCTCCACCAATTCTCCTTTACTTTGCAGCCATCATCTCCAAGAACTTGTCACCCAGCGCATTCGCCGCTATCGGGTTGTCGCCGGTAACAAGCTCCCTATCCACAGTAATACTTCCCATAGACTTGGCAACACCCTCCTGCATATCCGCACCCTCTTCTCTCAGCGTACCCTCAACCTTGTCGATCTCACCCCGGAAGATCGTCTCCATCAACTTCTCCTCCGCATCCGACCAGCTCGTCATCTTGTAGCCCGCGTACTCAAACTTCTTGCTCGGACCGTACTTGGTCGAGAGGAAGGCCCAGGGTCCGTGGCATATTGCAGCCGTTGGCTTCGAGGAAGTGTGGAAGTGTGTGAGTATGCGACCGAGATCCGCGTTGTCGCCCAAGTCGGACAAGGGAGCGTGACCACCGGGGATGAAGACACCGCCGTAGTTCTTCAGTTCCTCGTCGCTGATCTCGGAGAACTTCTTTGGTCGCGAGAAGCCATTCTCTTTCTTCATGCGCTCGATCAATTCGAGCTCTCTTTGCTTCTCGTAGTAGTTTCCTGCAAAGGCGGCAAGCGATACGCTGAGTGGGTCTGGTGTGGGTTCCTTGCCCTCTGGTGATGCGAATGTGACTTCGTAGCCGGCGTCGAGGATCTTTTGGAGAGGCTTCGCTAGCTCCATGAGGAAGTAGCCTGAGTCTTGAGATACGGTCTTTCCATCGCTTCCGGTGTTGTATAGGGGGAAGGAGGACGCGTCGGAGAGCACGATGAGGACTTTCTTGTTTGCCGCCATGATGGTTGATTTGGAGTTTTATGTGTAGGTTGGTGGGAACTGGATGTTTGTTGTTTTGAGAATTGAGAAGTCAATTGGGTATAAGCTGTGTTGTATGAGAGATGGGGATGGCGATACGAGGGGTTGGTGTATATGTTTATGGTTTTCGCTGCAAGGTCAGTATGACGTAGGCGCCTTCTGTCCTTTAGAAACGTCACACTCACCCGCCTCTCCACTTAGGTACTCGGACGTGTTGCATAAACTTCGATGCTCTGTCTCGGATAACCTCGGCACAACCTTGCGTCATCATCTTGATGGGCGACTTTGTACGCGAAGAAGACACGTCGCGTCACGTGTGAAAGCGGTTCATTGCATGACTCGTCCCGCATCGCGAGATGACTCGCTTGCGCCATCCATCTCAATTCCTCAACTCCTCCAAACATTCACTATGAACGTACGCAACTGCAAGAGAACGAACTATATATGGCCAGGCTGCAGAAAAACGCCTGCAAAAGAGTCCTGGAGATGTCAAAAAGCACACTGGGCTCTAAGGTCCGTGCCACGAGAATTCAGCAGCATCACACATGTGTCCACAGCGCAAGAATCGCAGTCCTGGACGCCTGAAAGTCATGCAAGAACCTTCTTGAGGCCGTCGCGTTCAGGCAACAGTAAAAACACCAAGAAGACAACATAACAACATCACGCATAGTTTGAATCATTCGGTAGCAAAGCAGATGTTATATCAGGCGGACTCCAGCTGTGTGATGCTTCGATACTCAACGCTACCGACATTGCCACCCACCATCCTGTACACCAGCTACTATGCGCCTCTACACTCACGTATTCTTTCTTTTTTCCATCCTGTCAGCTGCGCTAGCGCTGTGGGATTCAAAAGACCCCTGTCCCACTTCCATCGAGGCAAAAATTGAGGCTGACCCTTCCCGGTCCCTCGACGACCGCTACCCATACGACGTCACACCCTTCACAACCTGGGACTCCGTCCACTCAGCCCTCCTTACCTGCCCTAACATATCCACCCTTGACATCGGTGTCTACGGGTCCTGCAGTACATGGCCCGACCGGATGAATCTACCGCTCAGCCCTTTCGGCGGTGAAAAGTATCCCGATATCAAATCTTTGAAGGTTGAAGGCTATCAGTGGGAGACATGGCAGCATGAGGAAATTTGGAAAGGGCCGAAGTGTCTAGCGCCAGGCAAGCTGGAATGTTTCATGGACACATTGTATTGGGTCTACAAAGGCCATTGGATAAGCTGGCTTGGATGGCGCACTCAATCGAAAGAGCAGTGCGAGAAGACCAACGCGGAGCTTTGGCTTGACGCAATGAACTGGACGCGTATCGAGGAGCTTTCTGTGGACACCGTCCCGGAAAGCGTGCGGAAGGTTCTCTCGCAGTCGCGAGCGTTGCGCTCGCTGAACACGACAGACAGCGAACTCATCCTCGGCTTGCCAAAGAACACGCTGACGCATCTATCTCTTGTCAACGGCGAGCGCGACACCGTCCTCTTCGAAGATATTCTGAACCAGCAGGGCGGATCTTTGGAGAGTCTTGAGATGCGCTGGAATACTGAGCATCATCCATGGAGGTATGACGGCGATCTCGACGACGAGATTCAGATGATAAGAAAGAGCGCAAAGCAAGTCAAGCATCTAAGTATGAACATCTTCCGTAACGCTAGCAGCTCACCCTTGGAAACGCTGGGAAAGATCGTTTCCATACCCACGCTACGAGAAGCAGACTTTTGGATAGACATACTCGGGCCACGGGAGTGGAGTTACAAAGAGCTCCGCGCCCTCGGAGAACAGTACGCAGAGGCAGAAGGCGGCAGATACCTATTTCTCAACAAAAAAGATGCGCTGAATATCTTCAATTACATGCGAGACAAGAAGCAAGGGCAAGAGCTGGAAAGAGCAACTTTTTGGATTGGTGACTCGACACGGAATTGGCTCTGGGAAACCCCAAGAGCGCATGTAAAATGTGAAGCGAAAGCAGATGTTGATATGGAAGACTGGTGTGTGGTGGATGATCAGTGGCCACACTACCCGATGTTCGTGCTCACTCCACGGGTAGAAGCCCTGGAAATTATGGACACGGATTTCCGATGTGGAACGACATGAGCTCTGAACCTTGAATCTACGTTGGCTTCTCGGTAGATACATGCATATGTTCACAACTTTAGTCGTGACTGACGGTGGGATCCCATGCGCAGGGCTCATACACTCCAGTATCCAAGCTCTCCATCTCTTCGGCTGTGAGCTCGAAGTCGTAGATTTGGGCGTTCTCCTCGATGCGAGATTTGGTCACGGATTTGGGGAGCGGTATGAATCCCTGTAATCGCAATGTCAGTTCATTACTCTCTCACAAAGAATTGTTGCTTTTATGCTCACCATCTGTATACTCCATCTCAGTAATATTTGCGAAGGCGTCTTGTTATACTTCTTCGCCAGTGGCTGGAGCAGCGGATCGTCGTTTTTTGTTGCGCGCACGATTGGACTGTATGCTTCGCATAGCACACCTCGCTGCTTGCACCAGTCTACGATATCTGGTCGCGCAAGCCACGGGTGAAGCTCTACCTGATTGACGCTGAGGATTCCACCTTTGCCCTTCCCCTCTTTTGCGTCCGTCTCTTTGATCCACGCTTCTAGCTCATCTAGATGATGCACGCCGTAGTTCGAAACGCCAATTGAGCGAATCTTGCCTGCCTGTACATCCTCTACGAGCGCTTTCCACGCACCGATGCGGTTCTCTTTGCCGCCGTAGGGACTGTGCAGGAGACAGAGATCGACATAATCAAATCCGGTGATCTTGAGGGTGTTTTCGATGTGCTGTTTCGAGTTCTCGTAGCTCATGTCTTTCGGAGGGATCTTTGTTGTGAAGAATAGCTCTTCTCTTGGAATGCCCGACTTCTTCATGCCTTCCGCAGATGGTTGCTCGTTCCGGTAGGCGACGGCAGAATCAACGTGGCGATAGCCGACTTTGAGCGCGTGCTCGACCACCTCGGATGCGATATCTGCTGGTGTTTGATATACGCCATATCCGAGGACGGGAATCTTGTAGCCTGATGGCATGGTATATTGCGAGTTGAGGGTGAGCCCTGCCATGACTGCTGATGACGTATGGAAGGACCGTGGTGTTCGTGGAAGAGGCAATTGGGAACGCAGTTGTGATAATCTTGTGAGGGCAGCAGACCGCATAGTACTTTTGCAATGGAATGGATGAAAATAGTTGTATATCTTGAGCGGCTGTTGCCTCAAAGACGGGATGGTACCTGTAGGAGTATACCCCGGCGAACCTGGAAATAGCGGACATAAAGCGCCAAGGCCGAAGACTAATGACGCGTCAGTAGCAAGATCACTTACCTAGCTGCACCGAGTAGCGAAACAAAACTTCATCATCGTCGCTCCATCGGATTTTGGGGATACTTCATCATCACCGCTTCTCTTTGGGCCCTTTTACTACCAAATTAACCTCAACGGCGCATGCGCCTCTTACCACGCGATCCGTCCCAAAACGGCAATATTAATATCAATTCGCGGCCACCACTTAAGGACATATGACGCAGCAAATCGACCCAATGTAGCAGCACATAATTAGGCAAATTGCCGCTCTTTCCTGTCACTCTGCAACTATTTACCCAGCGATCACCGCCGTTATTGACGCCTCTTACGCTCAACACATATATGCGAAGCAAGACAGGCATCGAGCTCCCAGCTCTCATGCGAACCCCAGGCGGCTTCGCGGGCCTCAGCTGCACGGGATCCGAGATGACGGGCCCTTTGTCAGCGCTAGAAGGGCCGAAGAAGATCTGGAGAAGACGCTGCAGACTGGCGAAAGCTGGTGGGGCGAACGCACGCGAATAGGCGCCTGACACTATGGATAATTACAATACCACGTTGCGCATGCGAGCCCACGGACCTGAAACGTCCCGACCCCCCTCCTTTTTGGACCTCTGGGTCGCGTAAAGAGTATGTGCTTTCTGCAAGAGGATAGCAGGTTGCAGGCCTAACTCGTTCCTCCGACACACCGATGGACTGGCCCTTGGTTCGGCACCCCGGCAGCGTCTCAGGAGTCGGTTTACGTTTCTCAACTCCACGGAGTGTAGCACGACAGCTTTCCAACATTAGCCGAAGAGTTTTGTACGACTGATTTTCGATGGATGCCGATCGCATTATCGGAATAGAGATCGATCTTTGCCGTAGCCTTGAAGCTTGTCCGACCATGAGCTTGTGAACGAGTGGTTCGGCAGCCTGTAGTACCACCGGTGAGCCGTGAAGGGATGCACGCTGACACGACACGCACGTGCAGGGTGACTTCATAGGGTCTAGCATCTGGCCGCTTCTGTGCCACCTCTAGAAACCCATGCGATGCGGCTAAAACAAGTGCAGTTCAACAATATTTGCCATTATCGACTGACTCTGTCTTCTGGGTCGTAGGGAAACACTTCGCTTCCACTCCTTTGCTAATGTGGGGCGTAGATCATGAAACACTAACCCGGTCGAGTCGTCAACTGCAGCTCCTCTGTCATTGTCACATTGCTTGCCCTTCCGTCTACCTCACGACCCAGTCAAACCGTTTCCTGATCTGTTTCAACCCCTCGACGCAAGCCTCAACCGTCGCTCAATGCGTCATTCACAGCTACAGGGATCGTTTTCCACTGACTCTGGTCGTTGTCTTATCGCGTGCTCGGCAATGCGGAGGAGATCCCGAAGATTCGAACAATGTCACCTACCCCGAGTGTACTAGTCCGCATCCTGCGTCTGAGTCTCGCCGCTGTTAGCACTCATGCTCGGAATCAGAACGTGGAATACTGTCCTGCCGTCAGCGGTCAACGACTAGCCAAGTAAAATGGCGGTAGGTTCCGATCGCTGCGTGATGCGCGACGACGCAGGAACGTGGGGGTATACAGCACACGCGGACGACGAAGCTTACTACTGGCCACAGCGCGTTCTCGGAGGCTTAGTCTAAGATGATAAGCAGCCTATTAAGACTTCTAGAAGAAGTCTATCAACTAAATCCTGACTCTTACCACCACTCCCATTGGAAGTTCTACGCGAAAGGCCGCTACCAGCCGTTTTTCAACTCGAGCGTAGGGCCGTTCGGGCCGCTGGCGACGTCGAGGAGAAGTAAGCTGCGTACATGCGCAACGAACCGGTCTTCATCGCGGTCCGCGACTGCCTTGGCGAGCGGATGTAAGCTGACTAGGGCTTGTGACGTGAAAGCTCCCTCCTTCCGAGCAAGCCACGGGCGATCACCAAGCAAATCGTTCGTCGCCATCCACCAGATTTCGAAACGCGCTGACCAGTCATAGCCACCAGATGCATGATATTACACCGCGCGGTCCATCAGCATCGTCCAGATTCTACTTCTACCCGTGCTCGTGCTGGATCTGGTAGATGTGTGGTACACGTCAGACCGTATTCGAAGCCATTGTCGATGCGTCGATTGAAACTGCCGCGAAAGTCTCGGTGGCATCATGCATGGAGCTCGAGCTTCTGACAGCAGTGCTTACACTCAGTACGTAGACGTCGTCCACCTGTTACATCTACAGTGCGTATAGGAGAGCACTCGGCGCAAAGGATGTCGCAGCACTGAAGGATATAGACAGTGTGACGAGAGTTCTTGTCGTGCATACCGGCGCCACCCGTGCCGTTTGAAGAGCGACTGACAGCTTAAGGGGAACTCAGGATTGCGGGGCCCTTGATTGACAGATACAATGTCACGGCACGTAGGAGCCGGTGTTCCTGCTCAGATCCCCACATCGTGTGGAGATGTGATACTATCATCCTCTATACGCCTGTGGTAGTCCATCAGCCGGGGGTTGATACGGCCGAGCTCCTGTTCTCCGCAACATCAGCATGAGCTCAGTGCTCGATGTCAATATCAGAATCTACCCACATACGCAAGTCGGCACAGCGTTATGTAAGGACCGTTCATCTTGCTGATCTCCTTGGTCTACGCCCCAGGAGAGCGCATGGCACCCGTGCCTTCCAATCGCACTGGCTAAATCAGTCTGTCAGTGCTTGGTGCATCTGCCGAAGAATGGTCTCGACCATACATCACTAAGAATGTGAAACTACCTCAGTAAGATAGTGGCAGACGCAGGGGATGATGACGAGGATAGGTACGGTGTGCGTAGCTGAGACCCCCTAGCATACTCGCGCTATGAGCCCATGCATACTACAACAGTGGCATGTAGGTAAGTTGTTACGTGCTCGCGTGGAGAAGGGACTGTACCACGTAGCTTACACATAGGGCTGACTATGCTGACCAGTCACGAGCTTGGAATGGAGGTATACGAGGGATGCTGGCGTCGATCACGCCTTCTTACTACTAACACTTCTTACACAAGCACCGATATAGTCGGAAAAGTCGGAGGTAGGACGCACACGACCCATGCGTACCGTCATAGCTAAGCAAATAGCGCAGCCACAGCGATGATGCATCTTACCCAGGCGACAGAACAGAATGCGCAGTGCTATACGTAACAGACCCGGATGCGTGACCTGCATCATCAAGGCAGACTACGCGCGCATTGGCATCCATCGCGAAAGCACGTCATGTCCCCGTGCCCTTTGACAGGATTCACACGAAGGAACGCACAATGTAACAGTGTCCATCGCTTCTCCATAGCGGGCAGGGCACCAAGACACGAAAGGCCCGATTGCGGCGCCGCACCCATCTCCAAACCGTCTGCGCGAAGGTACGGCACCACCACCACCGTGCCGCCCTCAAGACACGCGAGCCGCGCGGGTGAAAGCCCAAGCCCCAAACCTCTGCCGCAAAAAAACGGTTGTCTCGTGTCCACTAACCACATGAGCAGCCGCGAAAAAAAAAAATAGAGCCTTGTCAAGTCATAAGCGAACCTGTCACAGCGCTTTCTATTAAGACATCTGAAACCAGTGCGCCAAAAATCGATACAATCGTGATTGCGGCACGACTGTACTGTATTGCGGCGCAGTTCGGCACAGGTGGGTGTGTGGTAACGGAGATGGGTGCCCCGTTGAAGAAGGAGCGAGGGACCAGAACAAAAACGAGGGCCCCACAAGGCGGCATAAGGTTAGTTAGGGCGGTGCGAAAAGCGCATGCGCGAGCGACAGAAAGGGAAAATGAAGAAGGG